CACCTGACAACAACAACAACAACAACAACAACATGGCTTTTGATAGGCCAGAGCTAAATCACCTTAGCAATGACCACTCCCTTCCTGTTGAACATATATAAGACCACTCCCTTCCTGTTGACTCTCTCTTCTCTTCTCTCTTCTCTTCTGCCTGCTGCCTTCTCTCTCTGGCAGAGGTCACCTTCCTCTTCTTCACCCTGAATAAAAGTCTCTAGATGGGCTATCTGGTGTGCGGTGTGGTTGATGAGCGGTGCTGGGTTGTTTTTTTCCCTTTCAGCTACCTAGCCAACTGATTGGAAGAGATCCATATTTGTGCCCGTTCTAAGGAGAAGTGAACCAATGGAATGTGGAAATCACTAAATAATATCATTAACATCACATGCAAGTAAAATTTTGATGAAGAGAGTTCAAAAATGGCTTCAACTGTTGGAACCAAATTGACAGTATTTAACAAAACCACCGTCTAGATAGTGATTCTCTCTTCTTCTCCCTCCTATCCCTGGTAATTTTCAAAGAATGTTGTTTTCTGCATATAAACCTATTCTTAACTTTTTATAAAAGTGAGCTCATCAAAAATTTGTCCTTTTATGATTGTCTTATTTCACTCTGTATAATTTCCTACACATTCATCCATGGACTCATCATGATTCTTTATCATTGCATGTTGTAGTTGTGAAGTACCGTCAAGTCGGTTCCAACCCATAGTGACCCTGTATAGGGTTTCTGAGGAGCAGCTAGTGAGCTTGAACCACCGACCTTGCAGTTCAAATGGCTTTGCAGTCTGGCGCATTAACCCACAGCGCCACACCAGGACTCCTATCATTGCATAGTATTTCATTATACACATGTATCACATTTTGTTTATTCACTCATTTGTTGATGATCACATTGGTTGTTTCCATCTTTTTGCTCTTGTGAATACACTGCAATGATTATGGTAGTGGTGATTAGTGTCCTTTGAGTCAGTTCTGACTCATAGCAACTCTGTATAGAGTTTCCAAGGTAGTAAATTTTTATGGGAGCAGAAAAGCATTATCTTTCTTCCACAGAGTGGCTGGTAGATTTGAGCCACTGACCTTTGCAGTTAGCAGCCCAACACACAACCCACTACGCTGCCAGAGCATTTGGCTATGATCATGGGTGTGTATACGTCTATTCATGTCACTACTCATATTTCTTTAAGAGTGGGATTTCTGGATCATATGATATTTGTATTTCTGGCTTTTTTGAGGAAGTATCATAATATTTTCCTTAGTGGTTGTACCATTTTACAATCTCACCAGCCGTTTATAAGAGTTATGTCATGGATGGAATTGTATCCCCCAAAATAAATTAGTGTAGTGGATTATTAACTGGGCTGTTAACAGCAAGATTGGCAGTTCAAACCCACCAGTCACTCCTGGGAAAATCCTAAAGGGTCACTATGAGTCAGAACTGACTCTATGGCATACAACTCCTACCAACCTCCACCAGCAAATATATGTTGATTTGGCTGGGTCATGATTCTCAGTGGTTTGTCAGTTATGTAATAAATGATGTTATTTGACAGTCGTGTAATAATGTGATTTGACAGTCATGTAATAATGTGATTTGACAGTCATGTAATAATCAGAACCATGATGTGATCTGATGTAAGAGGATGTAACCCCATCAGTTGTAAGGGAATTAGGTGGGGTGGGATGTGACACTCATACTCATGCACAGCCCTGATCTGATGTAAGGGGAGTTTTGCTGAGGTGTGGCCTGCATTGTCTTTTATCATACAAGAGATAATAGAAAAGAGAAGCAAGCAGAAGGAGGGAACCTCACTACTACCAAGAAAAAAAGAACAGGGAGTAAAGTGTACAAGGAATGACTCGGGGAGCACTGGGTCCAAAGGATGCACTCTACTCCCTGTGCTTAGTTCAAGGGGAAGATTGATACCAGGACACAAGGATATCTCTAAGGAATGCTGGGCCCATAGATGTTGAAAATAGACGAGGACCTTCTTTCAGAGTCAACAGAGAGAGAAAGCCTTCTCCAAGAGCTGACACCCTGAATTCAGCCTTCTAGCCTCCTAAAACGTAAGAGAATAAACTTCTATTACAGCTGTTTGTTAAAGTCATCCACTGTGGTATTTCTGTTGTAACAGCATTAGATAGCTAAGACAAGTTCCAGTCTCCTCAGAACCTCATCAGAATTTGTTGCTTTCAGGGATTTTTTCCATATCAGTGTAATTTTTGCAGGGGTGAGATTGTATCTCATTGTACTTTTAATTTACATCTCTCTAATGGCTAGAGTCCTGGTGTAGTGTTGCAGGATAATGCACTGGACTTCAAGGTTGATGTGAACAGCAAGGTTGGCTGTTCAAACCCATCAGCCTCTCCTCAGAAACCCTATATAGGGTCATTATGAGTCTGAATTGACTCAATGGCGCTTACCAACAACAACAATGGGTAGCAAGTCCTGGTGAGGCACCACAGAATAAGCATTTGACCTCAAAGTCAATTTGAATCACAAGGTTGGCGGTTCAAACTCACCAGTTGCTCTTTAGAAACCATATACAGGGGCACTATGGGTTGGAACTCACTCAACAGCACTTAACAACAACAACAATGGCTAGTGTGGCACTGTGGGATAATCTGCTGGCCCACAAGGTCAGTTTGAAGATCAAGGTGGGTGGTTCAAATTCACCAGCTGCTCCCTGGAAACAGTATCACTATGATTCGGAACTGACTCAGCAGCACTTAACAACAACAACAATAGCTAATAAAAGGACTCACGATGTGGTGCAGTTGGATAAGCACTGAACTGAGAATCACAAGGTCAGCAGTTCAAACCCACCAGCTGGTCCATGGAAACAGTTGTTATGATTGGAACAAACTCAACGGCACTTAACAACAACAATGGCTAATGAAGGATCTCTGGTAGTGTAGTGGGTTACAAGTTGGGGTGATAACCATAAGGTTATCAGTTCAAATCTACCAGCCAGCCGCTCCATGGGAGAAAGATCAAATTTTCAGCATCTGTAAAGATTTACAGCCTTGGAAATCCTATACAAGTTCACTGTGAGTTGGAACTGCCTCCACAGCACACAACCACCATAGCTAATGACTGTGAGCATCTCTTCAACATTGTTTATTAAAGATATGGTGATGTACTTCACAAAATAAATGAATGGGAGGTGTACACTCATACAAAAAAAATGTGACATGCTCTAATCTGTGTTTCTTAAGACAAACTCCTTAGTGTACACACTGGGAAAATGGAGGCAAATAAACATGCAAATCTATTTTCACACAGAAAGTCAAAACTGAGGTGGTTAAGTACCCCTGTCTTCTGTAACACAAACAGATTGTGGTGAAACAAATGCAAAAAAATCACGACACAAAGGACTTTTGTGACCTACCCAGTCAGATGGAGCTTCCAGAGACTTAAAGGAAATAGAGATCTTCATTTCCTGCTTACCTTTCTCTCACAGCTTGCCAATTATTGACTAAAAAGTCCTTTGCAATGTATCGGCCAACTTCAGATGCTGCCACAATATTGATTATATTTGTTTCATTAAAATTAAATGGAAATGTAGTAATGGCATATTCCAGGTATCTGCAAGAGTGCATTTAAAAAATAAGTAAGTTCTAAAATATAAAATGTGAGTTAACAGGGAATTAAGTACACAGAAATAAAATCCTGAGTTTCTAAGCAAGTAATGCATAAATATGCATTGTTTAAGCTCTTTTTTTGTTTTTATTCCTTTAGTTTATTAACTACATTTCTACCCCAGGAACATTCAAGGTAAGTTGGTCATAATCACCTATTAAGTATCCATGGGTCTTTATTGCAGCTCATAGCATAAGCAAGTTGACTTCTTTCTTCGTCCTTGGTTTGATTAGTGTAGATATTTAACAAAAAGTCCCATTCTTTATCATTTCCCAAGGCAATGCCATAACATAAGACCACACTCTTAATTGGATAAGGTATTCTGCAAGGCATAACATGCAATGATATCTCTCATAGTAGTTACATGCTTATCTGTCTTTTCATATACTTGAAAATAAAATCTAGAAAAAAAAAATGTGAGATCTCAAATATAAGAATCAAAAGTAAAAATCTAGAATGGCAATTGTCATTAGCACTAATACCAGGAGAAGAGATCAATACATCAATTTCAAAATTAAGGAGTTTTAAAGGATTAGTGCTTCGGAATTATATAACCAGTGTGTGTGTGTTAATAATCCAGTTTGATCTTGTATCTCATTATTCAATTTGGTCTTATATCGCATTATTTGCATTTCCTAAAAGTCCATTGGAGATAATATATTAGAGATAATAAAACAAAATGGCAGAGTCATAATCTCAGCACTCAGGGAGACATTTACTGATGGACTTAAAAGTCTAACAATAACAAAAATTATGAAGAAGAACCTCTGTAAGATTATACAAACACAGAGATTTACAGTAAGTACTTACTGGAAAATGCATTGGCAATGGAAAGTACTGGGTGAATATACATTCTAATCTTCTAAGGTCATGCATAGATCTTTATTGGAAAATTATTTCAAAAACAACGATTTGAAAAGAAAAGGAGACAGAAAGTAAAAGCAGAATGATTAATCCCAGAGTGAGAGCATTAGAAATATAAATTGTTGGTACTGAAATAGGACAGAAACAAGGACATTACAATATTACTCTTACTCATTTTCTGGATGGTTTATCCATTTTATGAAGAGTTCTCTTGATAACTGTAGACAGTCTTCAAGGCCCAACCAACATGCAGTTTTGAAAAGTTTCTCCAGTGATATGCTTACAAGAAAAGTAAAAGAAAAGCAGTTTATTTTGCATAACTACATTTATTTTCTCTGCCTCCAAGAATGGGTATTCAAAACAACATTCTAATAATACCAGGTTTTCTTTTTTTTGTTTTTTTTTTAAATCCCTTTTATAGATGGCAAATATATTTATGATTCAGAGAAATATTTGCTGAAAGGCTCTGGGGCACCAAAAGACTCCTGGGTCTGGTATTTTTTGAAAGTTAGAAATACATTACTGCCATCCTCCATCTCCATCAAACACAAATGAGTGTAAATACACTCCACATATGTGGTCAATTTATTTTTACTTCTTTTTACAGTAATTGCCTTATGGATTTTAAAACATGATGTTAGAGAATCTGATATAATGCACGTAAAACTTAAAATTTCTTAAAAAGCAAAAGAGAAGGAAAAGCTTATTTCTCCCCTACAACAGTGTACCTTCCCCCTTTGGAAGCTTCTGCTTTGTCCTTGTTTCTTTCTGGCTGTCAAGTTTATGTCCAGAAAAAAAAAAAAAGAGAGAGAGAGAGAGAGAGACTTTAATTTTAATTATTTTGTTTTGTTTTTATAGCTGATCAAGTGCTTGTGTTATGAGCCAAACAAAGTAAGTTCAAAAGAAAAGAATAGAATGAGGAGTAATAAAGTGTCCAGATAATGCGTGTTTGCACTGTGTCGCAGATAAAGAAACCTAAGCTGGCCATAAGAAAAATCAAGAGTAAAATCCCCATTGTTCCACCCTCCAATTTCAACTAGCTGGTCTGACCTAGAGCAGAAGTGGAGGTCCTCTGAGACACTTCGGGAGCTTCAATTACAAAGTTGCTCTCCCCTCCCGTCTCAACCCTAAGGTAGCTGTAGCAAGATGCACTTCTGTGGAAGTGCTAACTGCCCAATATTTGTGCTGAGAACTGGTCCTGGGATACTACAAACATAAAGTAAAGCCATTTATGTCAAATTGAGGAGAATGGAGAATGTGGCTGGTTAAAATATGAATGCTCTGATTGAGCACATTTTCACTTTTCCACTCTTTGCATGGAGTCGATATGAGTCGGTTCCGACTCGATGGCACCTGACAACAACAACAACAACAACTCTTTTCACAACCTGCCTACCCACTACTCTACCATCTAGTCCTCATGTCTTCTACCTACTTGTCCATTTAATTCTACACCCTCCCAGGCATTAGAAACCTTATTCCTTGGTACTAAAATTTCTCCCTCCTTGGAAGGATTTTCTTGAGAGGGAAAATCACATTTTGCAAATTTTGTACTTCTCATTTGGCTAATTAATTCAAGTTTGGTGTGAACCAGAAAGAACTTGTAGATTTAAGTTCTAGAGTTTTGTTGGCTACAAATTCCCTGCTACACCTAGAAGCCCAGCCTACAATATGTATGTTGAGTCACAGAGAAGCCACCAATACTACCAGGTCCACTTGGAATTTCACCTCATTTTTAGATCAATAAAACATGATTCTGGCTAGAGGGTAGATATGGGTTAACTTGGGAGAAAGAGGAGGTAATACACAGTAAGAGGGAGGTTGGCAAAAGAATGATGGGGACAGGAGAAAACAGAGGAGTGCAAGAGTTTAAGGCAACAGAGGTAAATACTGTTTTATATATTTGTTTGTTGTTGTTAAGTGCCTGTGAGTCAGTTCTGACCCATAGCGATCCCGTATAGGGTTTCTGAGGAGCATCTGGTGAGCTTGAACTGCCGGCCTTGCAATTCAAACCAACTTTGCAGTTCAAACCAACTTTTCAGGCCAGTACATTAACCTACAGTGTCATAATCCTATAATAATTGCTATCTATGTCACATCCTGGTGTGGTGCTGTAAGATAATAAGCACTGGACCGCTCACTGCAAAGTCAGGTTTAAACGCACCAGTCACACCTCAGAAACCCTATACAGGATCACTATGAGTCTGAATTGATATGAAGGTAATTAACAACAACAGGTAGATATATGGATAGACACATAGGTGGAATGGGTTGTAGGAGGAAGTGGGAATATATACATATACATGTGTGTGTGTGTGTATGTAAAGGTTTAAGGAGCTCTGGTAGCATAGTGGTTACGAATTGGGCTGCGAACCCAAGGTCAGCAGTTTAAAGCTACCAACTCTTCCACGGGAGAAAGGTGAGGCTTTCTGCTCCTGTAAAGAGTTATAGCCTCGGAAACCCTGTACAGCGTCGATATGAGTCGAAACTGACTCCAAGGCACATAACCACCACCACCATATAAAGGTTTGATAGAAGACATTTGTACATGGGTATTTATCTTTGCTACAAACATATCCATGAATGTGGTAGAATATTTCTGAAACTTTTTAGATATTACCAAATTCCTTGAGGGAATGAGTTGTTGAGCCTGGAGGCTCAGAACCATAGTCTTGCAGGAAACCATGGTCAAATGGCATAACAGAGTCCACAAAGACAAAGTTCTACATCCTACTCTGGTGAGTAGTGACTGGGATCTTAAAAGCTCATGAATGGCCATCTAAGGTACAACTATTGGTCACTCCCTGTATGGAAGAAAGAAAAGTGATGAAGTCATTTGGAAACAATTAGTCCAATAGATTAATGAACCATGTGAAGATCTCTCTATAACCTAAGGACTGGATGGTGCCCTGATACCACTACAAACTGCTTTCAAAGTGCTGTCACATTATAAAGTTCTGGATATAATAGGAGACAATGTAGGGCAAAACTCAAAATCATAAAAAAGACTAGACTTACTGGTCAGATACAGAAGGATAAAACCACAAAACTATGCCCCTTGGTCACCCTTGAGGTCTGGAATGGAATTCACTTCCCTGGCTCAATTTTCATCCAATCAACAGATAGGTTTATAGAAAAACAACAACACTAGTGAGGTATGCTGTTTGTTGTTATTGTTAAGTGCCTGCTTTCAAGTCAGTTCAGACTCACAGTGACCCTGTTGGGTTTCTGAGGAGCAGCTGGAGAACTTGAACAGCTGACATTGTGGTTCAAACTGACTTTGCAGCCCAGTGCATTAAACCTCAGTGCTCCACCAGAACTCCTAGTGAGGTATGCATACCATAGAACGGTTTATTATTTGAGATCTAAAGGGCAGCATTCACCCAAGAACAAAGTCCAGAAAGGTTGGGAAAGAAGGAGGCAATGTTAACAAAAAATAAAAAAGGGAGGGAGTGGGACAAGTGACGTTACATGAGGCAATTGCAATCATTGAAATGAAATGAAGTGTATGATTTGTTGAATGTAAAACTGATGATTTGCTCTGTAAATCTTCACTCAATTCACAATAAAAAGTCAAAAAGAAAATGTGTTTACACCCCTCATCAAACCAATAATCTGAAAGTCATTACACAAAAACAGTTGTTATATTTCAGTCTTTCCTATCAGATTTCCATTGTGATAGAAGTCTTGTTACTAATAAAATGCCAAGAGGACTTTTATCCCCTGTGGTCTTCCCAGGTCCTTCAATTCATTATTATATGTTGTCTTTGCTTAGCACAACCCTTCACCAATAATAGAATTCACTTAGAATTTCATCCAGTAGCCTAAGATTTGAGAAATAGAGATATAACCTCCCTTGTTTACTATATGTGTCTTTGCATGTAAATTAAGATCTTAAACTATTATCTCCTATTAGAATACATGTAGCCCACCAATATCAAAGCTACTGTTCTCAAATAGCATATCAATGAATTATACCAAACCAAAACCAAACTCATTGCCATTGAAAGGATTTTGACTCATAGTGAGTGCATAGGGTTTCTAAGGCTGTAAATCTTTGCAGGAACAGAAAGCCTCATTTTTCCATTATGGAGTGGCTGGTGAGTTTGAACTGCAGACCTTGTGGTTAGCAGTCCACTGAATATTCTACAGCACCACCAGAAATCCTTCAATGAATTATAAGTATTAATATTTATTTTGTGAACCTGGAAAGCTACTAACATAAATAATTTTATTCAGTTATCGTTACTGAAAAAATACTTACAGGGCTAAATAGTCATCTTGCAATGCTGCCATGTTTTCACGAATGATGGCTGAATAAATATTCCATATTGAGTTAAGTCTCTTTAATAGATATTTCTATAAACAATTTTAAAAAAAGTATACTGTTACTTTTGGCTCACAACATTGAATTTGCACTGTATTTCTCTATACCAGGAAGGACATTAATAAAGAAGTGGCAGTTATTTCTGTGGAAGTGATCTTTGTTATTAAATGTGCAACTAGTTTATATTTTAACCTCTCTAGGTTCAGTTTTCTCTCAAGTAAAATGAAGTTTACAATAATACTTCTAATGCAGTTGTGATGCGGTGCTGTAGGATAAGCACTGATCACAAGGTCAGCAGTTCACATCTACCAGCTGCTCCTTGGAAACCCTATACAGTGTCACTATGAGTCAGATTCAACTTGACAGTACTTAACAACAAAAACAACATTGTGAGTATTAAGAAAAATAAATACATAAGCCATAAATACATAAGCCACACTGCTTGTCATGTGCTAACGACTTAATAAAGATTAGTTTATTACAGGTAGTCCCTGACGACTTACAACATATTTATGTTATGATGAACCACACTTAAAACCATCCTTTTTTTTTTTTTTTTTGGTACATCTATTGTTAGTAAATGGAGTCCTGGTGTGGCACTGTGGGTTAACGCACTGGATTGCAATAGTTGGTTTGAACTGTAAGGTTGGTGGTTCAAGCTCACCAGCTGCTCCTTAGAAACCCTATACAGTGTCTCTATGTGTTGGAACCAACTCGACAGCACTTGACAACAATTGTTAGTAAGGAGTCCTGGTGTGGTGCTGTAGATTAAGGACTGGACCTCAAAGTCGGCTTGAACTGCAAGGCCGGCAGTTAAAACCTATAAGTCACTCCTTGGAAACCCTATACATGATCTCCATGAGTCAGAACATTAGTAGTAATATGCACTATGTATAATGTTGCAGTATGTAATTTGATGATGTTATCATTCTCAGAAAGATCAGATTTATAAAGATACTGACAATGAAAAGCAATAATAATGAAAATTGATCTTAAAAATGAAGTCTTTGACTTACATTAGAATCAACTTATGGAATTGTGGGAACAGAATCCAGTCATAATTGAGAACTACCTTTATCATCATTTAATAGCACCCCAAGCATTTCAAGTGTTTTCAAAATAGAAACAAATATATTAAACTTTCTAAAATAAATATATATATCCTGGTGTGGTGCTGCACGTTAATGCACTGGACTGCAATATCAGTTTGCACCACAAGATCAACGGTTCAAGCTCATCAACTGCTCATATAGGGTTGCTACGAGTTGGAACCAACTCGATGGCACTTAATAACAACTGTATATATATATATACACCTTCAAGAAAATAATTTATTTACACCTTGGACAAGTTCAAGCACTCAACTTTAAATGTATTCTAGGTCTGAGAAAAAGTTTCTTCAATTTAGCTATCAGTTGGTAAATAATACTATAAAAGTCATACCTTTATGAGTATATCTCTTAGAACAAACTAGATGTTATTCATTGAAATTATTTGATAATAAATATTACTGGTGTTTACTTCTTTACCCGGAACCCACAATCTGCTGTCGTACAGTTGATTTCAACTCATAGCAACACTATAGAACTTAAGCAGAACTACCCCAATAGAATTTCCAAGATTGTTAATCTTTATAGGAGCCAACTGCTTCATCGTTATCACATGGAGTGGCTGCTGGGTTCAAATTTCTGACTTTTTGGTTAGCAGCTGAGTGCTTAACCCACTGTGCCACCAGGAACCAAAAACCAGCTATCAGATATTCTGTGAGCTAACTCAATCCCACAAAGGTTTAAATGTCACCTTTAATGTGTGACCATCCCCATGGTCAACTCAGTTTCCATGAACACTTTGGACATTAGGAAAGAAAACTCTGGAACCCTTAGACATTAGTCACTTCACTCTCAGACTGAACTAGAAACTCATCTGGAATTATCACCTCACATGTGTTCAGGGTTATTTGTGGCCTCTAATATTTCCAAAGTTGCTCCCTAGATTTTCCTTCATTTTAGTTTTGCCATCTTCCTTATGATCACAATTTAAACTCTAATAGTGGAACTTCCTTCCATATATATACATATATATATATATATATATATGTTGTTATGTGCCGTGGAGTCGGTTCCGACTCATAGTGACCCTGCATAGGGTTTCCAAGGCTGTAAATCTTTATGGTAGTAGTTATATTCAATTATAGTGGTATGTCATTTCTTCATTCTTTATTTCTCATTTCTATCTTGAGAACCTCAAGAGCACCTTCAAAACTTGTAGTCTTTCTGAAATAAATCTCTCTGGTTTTAAGTGCTGTTGCTGTTGATCAGACTATTTCAATTATGAACATAGGGTTATTAAACAGCATTCTGTTAAACAAACTCTAAGGAAATAGTTGTTAATAAACACTACCCTTTTCTTTAAACAAATTTAAAAAAAACCAAAAACCATTTTCGTCCACTTTTTGTTTCTTAGGGCACACTGTCATTTCACCTATAAAGAAATACCTTTCCAAACTTCTCACATACTCATCTCCTATGCCAGGTCTATAACAAAGATACTTTCTTTCAAGAATAATTAGCTATTATTTGAATATAGAAAATGGATATATGAGGAACTAGTGGAATTTTACTTCAACAAAGACCTGTCTTACAGGTGCTGGCTAGAATACGGAAAGAGGAAAAGGTTTAATTTTTAATCACATAACAGAATGAAATTACCTTTAATAATGGGTATATATCATAGTGGTTCACATCATATATAAGATCCCTGGTTACCAGATTTGCCAAGACTGCATGCCATACTATGATTTCATCTTCTTCAGCGAGGTACTTGGTTATATCAAGTGCTGTTTCAATCTCAATATAATTGTTTCTGTTTGGTTTAAACACATACACACTCAACAAATTTCCACTGGATCAATGATTTGTACACTTTCCATATTTGCTCCATGATTTAATGCCTGACTTCAGTCACGGTATGTGAACAAATCAGGAAGCTAGAGGGTAACAGCCCCATCGTATTGAAGAAAAGGAACACTAACTATGTTGAAAGGCTTTCTATTTCAGTTTAGTGTATCCAAGTACCCAAATTCTTGGGAGCTATTAACAATCAAGGCCAAATGTTGGACTGATTATTGGGAAATAGAAAATTTGTTAATTTGTTATGCATCCTTATGAGAATATAATTTTCATTAAACAAGTATTAAATGAAAGTTAGTCTCTTCTAACAATCTTCTGGTTACTGGTAGGAACATAAACTAAGATATACAACATTAGTCTTGCCTACCAATGAAGATCTTATTACTTCAATGAGAAGCTGAGATTTATGCATAAGAAGTTGTTAATAAAGACCCTAAAAAAATGCAATGAATACAGCAAAGTAGTAAAAAAAAAGGAACTCTACACATGTGATGGAGAAGTCTGAAAAGGCTTCATGGAGAAGGAACTTAAGAAGGACAATGAAAGGTGGTAGATTGATATAAGTAGGGAGAAAGAAAAGGTAGCCTGGATAAGAAAGATAAAGTGGGAATGAGTGTGATGGACAGACCATGCTAACAGAATCAAGTGTTTTATTTTATATATAAGTGAGAGGTGAGCGCTAGTAATTAAGGTGATTCAAAACTATGGAATGCCTTGAATGTTAGGTTGAAGAGTTTAGGTTTAATGAATGTACTCTGGGTAATTAAACAAATCCAAAGGCACTAGAGGAGGATAATGCAATAGGCTAGGCAAAAGATAATGGAAGCTTTGGTTAGTGTGGAAATGGTGGGGCTAGTAAGTAAGGTGAAAATTCAAAAGATATTACCAAAAATGGATGGATAAGATATTGGATGAGCATGAAAAATGGAGAGAGGAGGAGGAGTCAAGGACATCTCTGATGTTTCCAGTTTGATTACTTGAAAGAATAATGGTGTCTTTGACAAAGAGAAAAATTGTTCAGGAGAAACCCAGAGCATAAGCTGAAGGCAGAAGGAAAGATAAGTAGGGATGTAGATTTAAAAGTCATCAATATTTTCTTCCACAACCATTTATTAAATTCTTTATATCTTCTGGGCACTATACAGGTACATAATAAAGTGATCGTTGAAGCCATAAGAATGAATAAATTAGTCATAGGAAAAATGAAAGAGGAAAATAACAGAGCCATTACTGGTCTTGAAGATGCTCACAGCAGCAAGAAGAGAACCAGACTTGCATATCCATGTCTCAGGAAGCCAAAATGGAAGTTTTCAGGAGAATGGTATCAATGGTTTTAAAAGTCTTGAGGAATATCAGCAAAGTAATGGGAAAGAAAATGTACAGCAGGTCAGGGAGGTACAAGTAAGGATTAAATAAGTAGGCATTCAAGAAATATGACAAGCAAAAGAAAGAGAACACATTGAATAATTCTTTACATATACTTCTTCATTTTTATTGTTGGAAAAATTGAACTCTGAACAAATATTTATTTACAAGCCAAAATACTTAGCAGCATTGTTAATACTGAACAAACCTAATATAAATAAAATTAATAATTTACAACATATTAATAAACAGATCAGATCTTATTAAAACAACATCCATAGCCATCAACCTTGGGTAACAAAAATCACTTTAAAATATCAACAGTCTATTTATTTCCAGAAACTCTATGTTACTAGCTTAATCTAGTAACATAGTCACTGAATTTGGTCTTCATCTTCATAAGTTATCGCCTGCATATAGTAAAGAACAAATTTCATAATGATGAAGCTATTATTGCTATAGTGACCTCTAAAACAACCAGAGAAGAAAATACACTCACCGAGACAAGGAAAAGACATCATCAACCAGCTGCAATCTGTGAATAACAGGAATACCCTGCAGGATTCAACCCAAATATATGCAGAAAAAGATGAAAACATCATTTAATAAAACATAACTTTCATTTTTGTATTAAAATATTTGCTGCATATATAACATTTTCTTGTGAATTATTTCAACTGCAGAGAAATGATCATTAACAGGAATAATATCCATCATTTGTTTATTATACACCTATTTTTGATAAATTATTCTCCTGGACATCAATTCATAAGACTAAAATATGGCAGAGAGCTTTGCCAAAGTATTCTCCCAAACACAACATATTAAAAAATAAGATAAGAAATCAAGTTTTAAAAGTCCTCTTCAAATCATAAAGTTTACATTAAATTGTATCACAATATTCAAACTGTTGTCAGAAGAACTCTTGACTTAGTAAAACCAAAACCTGAAAAACAAACCCACTACCAACTAGTTGATCCCTAATCATAGTGACCCTATGTAGGGTTTTGCAGGCTATAAATCTTTATGGTAGCAGAAAGCTTTGAAGAATTGCCAAACTTGTGGTAGAATCCTGGTGTGGTGATGTCAGACAAGCACTGGACTTCTAACCAAAAGTTCCTTGGAAACCCTATACAGGGTTGCTGTGAGTCAGAACAGACTTAACAACAGCATAACAATATTGTGGTTAGCAGTCCAGTACGTATCCTGTTGATGTTAAGTGTCATAAACTCAGTCCCAACTCAGAGCAACCCTATAGAGGGTTTTCAAGGATCAGCTGGTGGTGTGAACCACCGACTTTGCGGTTAGCAATCCAGTACTTATCCTACAGCGCCACACACACACACACACACACACACACAAGCACATAAACTTACTGCTGTAGAGCTGATTACACTTCATGTCCTACAGAGGAGAACTACTCCCTAGGGTTTTCTTGGCTGTTACCATTTTTTCCATGGTATCAGTGGATGGGTTTGAACTTCTAACCTTCAGGTTAGCAGGCCAATTGAATATTGCTTATGTTACTCAGGGACTATAGTAGGCCTTTCCCACTGCCATGACTCCATTGAATAGGCACTGGACTGCTAAACACAAGGTCGGGTCGACAGTTCAAGACCACCAGCTGCTCCACATCAGAAAGATGAGGCTTTCTGCTTCCAGAATGACTTTCGGCGTCGGAAACCTTATACAGGGTTGCTGTGGGTTGGAACTGACTCCACTGTACTTAACAACAAGTTATTGCCATACTGGTGTAGCCCTGTAAAATAAGCACTGGACTGCTATTCACAATGTTAGCAATTGTTCCTTGGAAACCCTATACAGAATCTCTATCAGTCATAATTGACTTGATGGCACTTAACAGCAACAGCAACCCATTGCTGTCGATTTGATTCTACTTCATAATGACCCTATAATAAAGAGCTGAAGTGCGCCATGATGATTCCAAGGAGGAGTCCCGCTGTGGCACTAGAGTATAAGCACCGGACCACACGTCTGGTTAAACCGCAAGCTTAGCAGTTCAAACTCATCAGCCGCTCCTCAGAAACCCTACACAGGGCTGCTATAAGTCAGAACTGACTTAATAACAACAACAACAATCTTTATGGAAGCAGATTTTTTTTCTTCCATATTTTTCTCCCTGGGAATGGCTGGTGGCTTCAAACTACCGACCTCTCAATTAGCAGCTGAGCACTTAACCGCTGAGCCAGGTGGTCTCCTTTTAGCAGGCCTTCAGTATTATCATTTAATATTAATTTGGTAACAATTTTTGTTATTGTCAAGTGTCATTGAGTCTGTTCCTACTAATAGCGACTCCGTATAGGGTTTCCTGATGTGGTACTGTGGGTTATTGTGCTGGACTGCAAAGACCATTTGAACCACAAAGTTGGCAGTTCAAGCTTACCAGCTGCTCCTTGGAAACCCTCTACAGGATCACTCTACAAGGTTGGAACCAACTGAATGGCACTTAACAACAAGAGGGTTTCCTAAGAGTGGCTAGTGGGTTGTGCTTATCCTACAGTGCCACACCAGGACTCCAATTTGGTAACATAGATGTACTCTTTTAGATGGTATCTGTCTTAATAAGGTTTTACCAACTTGGCACAATACCACAGACATAGTCCTTCATAGTCATAAAAAAGTAGGAGTCAATCACCAATAAAACTCTTTAGAATCGTGTTTGAGTTGCTTGACATTGCCAGACTATAACCAATACTGTTGTTGAGTTGTGATAGACCATTGTTGTTGTTGTTAAGTGCTGCGAGTTGATTCCAACCCATAGTGACCCTGTATAGGATTTCCAAGGAGTAGTTGGTTAGCTTGAATTGCCAACCATGCAGTTCAAATGGCTTTGCACCACACCAAGATAGGCTCCTTCAATTTAATGTAAGGTCCCCTAAAATAACCCAAAATGTCCTACAACATTCCTTCAACATGTTCCAACACTTTTATATTTTGGTCCTAGAAGATTTATCTTTACTACACCATTTTGGTGTGGTACAGTATTAAGAAAGGTGTACGACAGGGTTGTATTCTTTCACCATACTTATTCAACCTGTATGCTGAGCAAATAATCTGAGAAGCTGGGTTATGTGAAAAATAAGGTGGCATCAGGATTGGAGGAAGACTCATTAACAACCTGCGATATGCAGATGATAAAACCTTTCTTGCTGAAAGTGAAGAGGACTTAAAACATTTGTCCATGAACATCAAAGAGCACAGCCTTCGGTATGGCTTGCATCTCAATGCCAAGAAAACAAAAATCCACACCACTGGTCCAATAAACAACATTCTTATCAATGGAGAAAAGATTGAAGTTGTCAAGGACTTTTTTTTTTTTTTTTAATGTTTTATTGTGAATCATGTGATAGTTTACATGGGAGAACATTAGTTTTACATTCAAAGGACTTCATTCTTCTTGGATCAACTATCAAAACTCACAGAAGCAGCAGTCAAAAAAATCAAACAACGTATTGCATTAGGCAAATCTGCTGCACAAGACCTTTTGAAAGTGTTGAAGAGCAAAGATGTCAGCTTGAGGACTAAGATGCTCCTGACCCAAGCCATGGTATTTTCAATAACCTCATATGCATGCGAAAGCTAGACAGTGAATAAAGAAGATCATAGAAGAACTGATGCATTTGAGTTATGGTGGAGAGAATATTGAAAGTGTCATGGGCTGCCAAAAGAACCAATAGATCTGTTTTGGAAGAAATGCAGCCAGAGTGCTCCTTGGAGGTCAGGATGGCCAAACTTTGTCTCTCATCCTTCGGACATATTGTCGGAAGGGACCAGTCACTGGAGAAGGAAACCATGTTTGGTAAGGTGAAGGGTCAGAGAAAAAGAGGAAGACCCCCAGAGAGATGGATTGGCAAATTGACAGCATCAAGGGGCTTACGCGCGGCAACGATAAGGAGGTTGGCTTAGGATCTGGCACTGTTTTGTTCTGCTGTGCATAAGGTCGCTATGGGTCGGTACCGACTCGATGGCACCTAACAACAACACTGTAGGATAAGCACTGGACTGCTAACCGTAAGTTTAAACCTACCAGCTGCTCCTCTGAAGCACTATACAGGGTTGCTATGAGTTGGAATTGACTCAACAGTACTTTACATCATTTTGAGTATTTGAGCAAATCAATTTAATTCTTTGCTTAATAATAGTCTCATTTTCTTTTTTATGCTGATAATATCACATTTTCTAGAATAAGATTAATAATAATTTTATTTTACTTGCTCACTAATTAATATTGTAATTGTTGTTTTTGTTAAGTGCCATCAAGTTGGTTCCAATTCATAGTAATCCTGCATGGGATTGCCAAAGAGCAGTTGGTGTGTTTGAACTGCTGACCTTGTGGTTCGCAGTCCAGTGCTGCTTCTACAATGCCAAGCCATAGAGATCTGTAACTTTGTAAGTAAATCTATAAATTTTTTAAGAAATAAATTTATTGGCATTTCCTAGTGATTCCATGGCTCAGACTACACTAAAGAATTTTTTTTAATTTACTCTTAGAAAGATTTGAAAATAAAATACTACTATAAATGTTTTAGTAACTTTATTCAAAATTTCAATAGCATTTTAAAAAATGACTGAACATGTTCAGAATGCCTGAAAAGTGTCAGGCATCAGTTAAACATTATTTAATCTTCACAATAACCCTTTAACTTTAGTCTATTATATTATGTTGTTGTTGTTAAGTGCCGTTAAGTTGGTTCCGACCCATAGTGACTCTGTACAGGGTTTCCAAGGAGTGACTGGTGAGCTTGAACCACCAACCTTGTAGTTCAAATGCCTTTGCAGTCTGGCACATTAATCCACTGAGGTTGTTGTTGTTAAGTGCCGTCGGGTCGGTTGCAACACATAGCGACCCTGTACAGGGTTTCTGAGGCTGTAAATCTTTATGGGAGCAGAAAGTCTCATCTTTCTCCCACAGAGCGGCTGATAGTTTTGAACTGCTAACCTTAAGGTTTGCAGCCCGATTTGTAACCACTACGCTACCAGAGCTCCTTAACCCACTGAGGTAGAGTTGATCAAATAAGATGCCCTAAGTCATACAACTGATACTATTGATTAACAAAAATATGAACTCAAGTCTTTCTGACCCAGAATGCAAGCTCTGCACCAACATACCACACTAGTTCCTATGCTAGAAAGGCTACTGTATGTTTCAGAGAATCTTAGAACAGGGAGACACTTAAGATATCCTTTACTTCAATACTCCAGTTTTATGAATGGAGTCTAAGTAAACTGGATACACAGCAATAACAGAGCTAACTCTACAGAGTCCTCACTCAGCATCCATCTCCTCCAATGGAAACTTGATTTAATCCAATCAATAAAAATCTGATCAATTAGAACCGGCCAAAGTTTTAATGTTTATACATTATGTAGTCATTTATAATAATTTTATAATTTAAAGTGGTTTGGGATTTCTATATAATTTCTATCTTATTAATTCTCTCCTGAGAGGGAAATGGGGAATGTGTTTTCAGGTGTAATATTAATTTTTTTGAGCATATATGGTAAGTAGCTCTGTTGGCACAGTGGTTAAGTGC